TGTGTGTGTGTGTGTGTGTGTGTGTGTGTGTGTGTGTGTGAGTGGTCTGGTTTTTGAGATGAGGTTTCTCTGTGTAGTCCTGGCTATCCTGGAACTTGCTCTGTAGACCAGACTGACTCTACAGATCCGCCTGTCCCTGCCTCCCCAGTGCTGGGACTAAGGGCATGCTCCACCCCGCCCAGCAGGTGAACAGCATCTTTATTAGGTGTAAGAGAAGTTTCTTTACACCCTCTCCATGAAAAGTCAGGCCTTGTTGGGATTAAGGGCCTGCACCACTGCCTGGCAAGGTTTGTAGCTCTTTAGGAGACAAAACTCAGTTCATATTTCTGTTTCTTTTTATTTTACCCATGAAATTATCCTCTTATTGAATCAGGAAAACTAGGTAGAATAAAAAAATTAAAGTGGATAACTGCTTGCTTAATCTTGGTATTACATGCCAATACTTAGAAAACCATTTTGCCTCTCATGCCTCTTCAACTTGTTCTCCACATTTCACTTGGAAACACTTTAATCAACACACATTTTAGACAATCTTTGCTTAAACCTTTCACAAGTTCCCATTATTCACAGGATTAATCCAAATAAGAAACGAGTTCTGGGGTCCTGTTAACCTTGAAGCTTCATTTCTTTCGTTCTTTCTGCCAGTTGGAGGCAGGGATCTAAACTCCTCTACCCTGAGGCCTTGTTACTCTCTCTGCAGAGATCTCACCCCCTTGACTACGGTAACTTCTATTCTCATGGGTACTTACTTCCTTTGACTGTCGAGGTACAGCACAGCAATCATATATTCCTACCACAAATTCCTCATCATGCCACAGTATCTGAATCCACACTGAGCTATAAATTCTTGAGGTAAGCCCGAAGAAAAATAATATATTAGAAGCTATCTAATACATTAGATAGCTTACAAAGTAATCCATAAATAAATGAATAATTGGTCCAATAAAAAAACAAGAAGTAGAAAACACAACACAAGAATACCCCTATCAAGTACAAATCAAACCTTTGTCATCATTCACTAGACCCTGGCCCCATTATTATGGGGGCTTCTTTGTTTTGGTATTAGTTTTCGTTTTGAGATAGAGCCTCACCATGACAGGCGCACTAAACCTGAATTCCTGAATCAGATGATCAGTTTCCCTAGGAGCTGGGAGTATAGTTATACATTACAGTTCTGCTAAGAGGTTTTAGAAACACTTGTTTCTTTAGTATCATTAGTGCTTATCTTAAAGCAGTAAATTCATTCTGCTAGTAAGTTAACAAACTATGCATATTCCTTCAGATATTTAATATCATGAGTGTTCTAGTGGCAGTCATGACAACAGAATGGGCTGAGAAGACTCAACTTAAACTACTTCCAGGTACCTCTCCTAAGAATTCGCTCTCTTCTTCTCGAACTCTAGCTTGGTCCCAAAGGGTAATTTCAAGCATTCGTTCTCGGAATTCTCTTCGGTGAACAGGAGAATAAATGAAGGTCTGGTTCCATTTGGGTTCCAATGTTTTCTTTACTGTTTTTGTTCTTCTCTTGTTTTTATCACTATATTAATAAAAAGGAAATAGACAAACTTATGTAAACATTTTACATTTTATCCATCTAAATTTTCTCAAGTGAAATATTAATCCCATATTTGTCATATTACAGTTAATGTAAACTTTTAGTTCCTGATAGATTATAACACAGCTGTATCTGC